GTCTGAACATATTTATGTGTCAATATTCCATTCCACTCACAGCGCTCCCTCGATGCAGCAGGAAATGTCATACTTCTATCTGTAAGTTGTAACTCCAGGCTACTGAACACATCTGCATAGTTTCTGCTCTGGATAATCTTGAGATGTTGGTCCTCACATGTGCCAAAAACTGAGTTTTGCTAGAGAACGTGGTAAACAGAGTGTGGTAAATTTTGATGTCCCCTAATTTTCATAATGAACCCTTAAACTGTTACAGCTCAGTCCCACATTAATATATCTGCACCAATAACTGAAAAATCTACAAGAAATGCAGTGCCATTGGCCGGCAACATAAAGTGAGTATGTTCATATGACCACTCTCAAATCCTTTCTGGTTGACTTTTTTTCTGGTGTATCTTAAGTTTGACATCTGATTTTTTTTTCTTCCTTTTTTCCTATTAGTGTTTTTCCTACATGCTTAATTCAACCCATTCTATCCCACTTTAAGGTTAAAGTTGCCTCCAACTTTTCCTATGATTACACTCCGTTCCTGAAAACATATTCATGCTACAGACAAATGCAAGGACTTAAGGAGAGGGAGAGAAAACAAGGGGATATGTTTTAAGAATTATGACGGATTCTCCTGTTGTACTATTGTGAACTAACACCTGTCTACGATAATAGCATCTGCTGATCACCTCTGGATCAGGTAGCAGTACACTTTAACAGGTACTAGTGTTGGCATTAAAGTGCACTGTATTTATTGTTGTGTAACACGAGTGTGCTCAGCTCATATGGTGTCCAGAAAACAATAAAAAATCGTGACACTTTCTGACTGTAATTTTTCTCATAAACTCAAGCATAACAAACGAGCAACAGCTGCACAGCTCAACGCTGACTTAACAGTGAAGTGTGCAAAAGGTGCGATGGCCTGCTCATACTGATTGCAGCTTTACTTCATTGTGAAACCTTTAGAAAGCCACATTCAGTGAAGTCTGAAGGAGATTAAAACTTTTGTTTTATTTTATTTTTTTAAATACTGTTGATTATAAAAGTCATTTGATGCAAAAAATAAAAATAAAAATTACAAAAAACTGTGTGTCCCACTAGCCTAGAAAGCTAAGTACTCTTTACAGTGCTGGGCCTGCAGTTTCTACATGGATACATTGCAAGCAAAGGGCTGTAGCCTCGGGATTTTCCTTTCTGCAGAACAAAATCTGCCAGGGTCAACTTCACGCTCAATCCAGTTAACAGACTTAAACAAAGGACAATAGCTGACTGTTCAGATTAAGCTTTGGCTTCACCAGATGTCTGTTCTGAATGGCTTTCATCACTTCCCTGCCAGTGGAAGTGTGCATTAGATTTGTGAACAAGACATGTTGACATAGAGTAATAGAAATAGGAAAACATTTTCCACATGGTTTCCTTGAGGTTTTCATTCATGACTGATGTCATGCCAATGAACCCTGTTTTCCGCGAAAGACTGGAGACTTAGCCTGAACCAACTGTACATCCATAGATGGTTAAGTAACAGAGTCAAAAATCTGCAGTTGTTTGGAGGTTATTTTAAAGAACATTTCAAAATGCATCACACCATCTTCCTGAACTTTTCAAAGCTACAACATAGCTTCATAACTCAGATCTCTGTAGACCACACAGTCTCAGGAAAAACACCAAATATTAAAAAGGGTTGTTGTTGCAGCCAGAAGTCAGCAATAAGGACAAAAACCTTTGCCAAGATGACATTTTCTGTACCATTTTTTTATGGTCTGAGAAGTGAGAATAAGGTGGAAGCTGAGAGACTTACATGTAGATATCTGTTAGTGAGGACAAATTGTGGTTAGATGACTCCAAATGGGTTCTGGGGTTGCAGTAAGATGGACTGCATTTTGTTCTTTTGAGGACTTTCCTGAATATTACAAATACCCACTGAAACACTGTTGTATGATAATACTTGCTGCACAAATACAAACCTTGTTTGAATCTGTAAATAGAGATTATTTTGATTTTGAAAAGGGAGGGTGAAGAAGGAGCACATAGCTCATTAAAGTTCTTTATTTATTTCAAAACTGTGGCATCACAATTTTTTAATTACCAATCTCTACTGATTTGTATCCTTTAAAGTTGAAATTCAAATCTTTAAAATTTCAAGTACTCAGTTTGGTAACATACCATCCAAGTTTGATTACTTTTCTGCCAAATGAATTGCTTCTAATTTGATAGAAACTGCCAACTCCTTTCCTTTTTCTGCATCTTAAGCCCACCCACCTTCGTGAGCTAATGCATTCACATCAAGTTTGCAGGTGTTGTCAGTTAATATCAGTGAAGGTTCAGTACGTAGAACAAAGGGTGGACACTGTGTTTGAGCCACCCTCATTGAACAGGACCAGAAGTGGAACGTGTCCTAGGATAATTACACAGTAGGGGGAGGAACTCCACTCTGCATATTTGAGCTTGGAAGGATCACAGGTATGTTATTTGATTTATTTGATCTTAAAATGTTGCTCTGGAGCAAGGTCAACATTTTATGTTTGCAAAATCTCATTTATGAGATTGTTCAGCTTAACTTTACTTACAGACAGATGGACCACATGGCAGGGCTGACGCATCAACAAACATATTGACTTTGACCACTCTGGGGATTGGTTGCCAGAAAATGTGGTCAGCATGTGATTGGAATATGAAAACACCTGCACACTGGTGCAGAGCGAACATGCAGAATGAACAAGAATCAGACTAATAACCAAATCTACTGCTGACTTTACATTAAGACCCAAGGATACATCAAATAAGTTTGTCTACACCTTGATAAAAGCTGTTAGATGGAATACTTATTTACCCTGATTTCCTGTTTGTAAGCAAATAGATTTTCAGCCGTTGGTTTAAAGAGCATTGAAAGTTCTAGGACCAAAACCAAATCGTAACCTTTTGATACATTATAGACCAGGTACACTTCTCAGCTTATCTAGGACAGGCCTACTGTCTGTTCTAACTGTGCGTTCACACCAAGTGTGAATAAAATCATCCATCATCAAAATGGTGTCATCTATCATAAAATCATTGGTTCATTCGCGTGTATCTAAACGTGCAAATGAATAGCATTTACTCGCTTCATTCACGCGAATGATTTGCTCTATTTGCGAGAATCATTTAGTCTGTTCAGGCGATTCGCATGTCAACAGAGTGCTTAAAAGCAGTGGATACAAGAGGGGGGAGAGAGTCCATCAAGCGCGGTAGGAGTGAAATACGTTGTGCGGATTTATTGTGGAAGGCCCACAACCGTCATACGCGCCGCTGTGTCTGGGTAAATCATATTCTCAAGAGGCACATGCAGTTTGGGAAATTTTAGGATCCCCTCCAAGAGCCGCACCTGAATGACAGCCATTTCCAGTGGTATTTTTGTGTTACCAGACTCCAAATATGATGACCTGTTGGTGAGGGTCGTGCCAGGATATCCCTTCAGGCTACCAATTACAGCCGCTCTATCCTAGCTGCAGAACGCCTGATCATCTGTCTACAGTGAGTAAAGGATTGTATATATATATTTTTTTTTCCACAGTAAAAATCTTTCTTTTTGTTTTCATGCATCACCTAAAAATCTTCATGCTGTTTTGTTATAGCGACACCAATATTTGCCACAGTTGAGACATTTTTAACTCTCACAAATTCACCTCATTCGCGCAAATAACTCGTCCTTTTCACACTGTTTGCACCGCCCAATTTGCATAATTCATGCCACCAGAGTAGAAAGAGGGTCTAATCACAATGTTGCATTACCCAAATCGAGATGTACTCAAAGAAGTACATTAAAGGTAACTTTAGATCTATACCTGTACATGTAATTCACTTACGTGAATGATTTTACTCACGCTCGGTGTGAACTCCCCGTAAGAGTCCAAACCAAAGCAGTATTCTGTTCTTATGATGTACTGAAGACTGCACAGTCCACAGACACTTTTCATTTTTATTTATTTTTTATTCTTAGGAAGCTGAAATGGCCATCTCAAACTGCTACTTTCATGCCTCTGATTGACTATGGGGATGTTTTATATATGCATGCATCTTCTCAAAGCCTTAAATCTTTGGATGCTGTTCATCATGGAGCTCCAAGCTTCATAACAAATCCCAAGGCTCTAACTCACCATTGTACTCTGTATGAGCAAGTTGGGTGGCCTTCTCTGACTGAACCACTGACACATCCTGATTTATAAAGGCTATACTCAGCCTGCTTCCATCATACTTGACTGAAAATGCTCTGCTCTGTGACTCTGACTTCGCTGGTTGTTATGTCTGTATCTGTCTGTTATTGTTTTAGGTCTGTAACTCTGTAAATGTGCCACTGCCTGTCTTGGCCAGGACACTCTTGCAAATGACAATTTTAATGTCAATGGAGATTTTCTGGTAAAATAAAGTTTGAACCTGTAAAATGCAACAACAGCTGTGGTCCTTCATTGCAAAGACTTTTACTTGTGTATGCCTTGATGTAGAGAGAGTGGTACTGAGACGATGTCCTTTTTCTCAGTTGGCCTTGAAGAACTTAAAATTCCCTGAGGAGGAGCTGACAAAAGATAATTGGGGAAAAAAAGGACATTTAGATTCTGTACTGTCTAGACAGGCCACATGGTGAATTGGGCTGTAGTTTTAGTCTTAACATTGGAAACATTCCACCAGTTTTAGAAAAGAATCTGTAAGACAGAGAACTGAAATGATAAACTACAGCACACTTAGTGTTTGCAAAGTGTTACTGTGTTCATCTTTTATGCCAGTTTGGCCATAATCAGCATTATCACCTTTGTACAGTAAATGAAGGGATGATCATTTAATTCTGAGTAAAAAGCCTGATGAGGGTTTTGTAACTGCAGTGACAAGCTGAAAGAGTTCAGCCAAAGGCGACTCAGGCAGCAAAGGGAAATTACTGCTTAAGACTCAGCCGTTTTCTCTTTCCTCTTTATTTACAATGACTGCGGTGACAGGGCTGATAAGGTGGTAACCACTTGCTGTCTGAAGACACCCAAAGGTAAAACTGCTCTTGGTGAGTCTACAAACTCTCTGTCAATGAACTTGGAATAATTGCTTACAATGAGTGAATAAACAGCACCAAGTTTGATATCTTATTTTTTCTTTCTACGTTCCTTCAGCCTGACAGTGCTATGTGAAGTTTTGAACTGGTTATGAAAAGCCTGACCCGGGATTTCCACCACATCCGGAAAGGCTCCGATCCAGAATGGCAGCGATTTTCGCCGCACACCAATTCCTACCTGGATTCACGTGCAATCGCGCAATAACAAGTTGTCTTTCACCACAAAGGCTAACCATATAAACAGTAGACTGTGTCCTTCCAGAGGAGGAAATCTACCTCTAGACTTATAAAATCAGCATCATCTCATCAATGGTGTCATCAAGATGAAATGCTGTCTATAAACCTTTCACCTGTTCATCCCCACCCATTTGCATGGCGTGATATACGATCTGCCCAAAACACGGAGTGTTTATTCTGAAAAGAACCTGGATGCATTATTTTGTGTCTGTGCCCGACTTCCTTTCCAGCTAAGGTTAATCTGTGCTGAATTTATCCTGCATGCTCCGTCGTCCAGAAATAACAGAACTCTTGCAATCAGCGGCAGGGTCCGGCGATCCACCGCGGAATGCAAAGAAGCCGGTGGAAATTGACACATTAACTTAAATGGTTACGATCGGCAGATACAGCCTTTTCGTAGCCGTTCCAGATGCGAAGGAAATTGTGGGTTGAGTGTTTTTACTTGTAACTGTTTGGAAAATTGAGTATTTCTCCTGTTGTCATTTGGAAATATATGAACATGATACTGTGACGCAGAACAAAAAAGTGAGCCAAGAGTGCCTGTAAGATTGCCATCCATTAAAACAGGTTCAAAGATATCGCATGACTTCACAACATCTACTGGTTCAACAAGTGGTTTGGTTCAGAGACTCTTGTACCTTTAAATACTGCTGTTAGAATTTCTAGGCCTTCATGCCAAAGCCCTTCTTGCTCATCCGCTGACTCACACGTTCTGAAACTGCTGTATTTCTGTGAGTGGTATCCAACCATTGACAAATACTCTCATCTGTCCAAATGTTGAGAGATTTGATCTTCTTGCTTCTCTGAGTCAACCCATGATTCAGGTTGTTGGTATGGCTTAACTGGCTCAGTAACTTGGAGCTGGCCCCCCACTACACAAAGAGTGACCACCACATATAGAAATGATTAATCTAGGCACTAGGGAGGGAGGCTGTGATGTAATGGCATATGGGCATTCGTGCAATGTTGTTTGCGATTTACAAAAATGCTGTGTGAGCATAGAAAGACCCAAGAGAATTTTCTTCATTTTATCATCTAAATCGTAGCAAAACAAACAAGCTACTGCTTATTTTACAAAGAGACCTAAAGAGGCAAACCAGTTCACCAGGAAAAACACTGACTATTCATATAAAGCCTTTTTTTTCTGGTTGTTAATTTTGCCATCGAGTCAAAGTTCCACAAAGAAATTAACAGCATGCTGTCCACAGGGGCCAACAAATTCAACACTGAGTAAAAGTTCCTAACACAAGCTTTCAACACTGGGATGTTTTGGCTCAGATTGTTTGCTTAATTTACATTTTTCTGAGGCAACAAGCCTTTATGAGTCACAAACAGAAACAAGCACACTGGGAGGTGCATGTTTGTGTGTTAAGCTCACACCAAGGTAAATTGTTACCATTCACTATTTACACAGATGGATTTAGTCATAGCAGAAAAACTGCTGTAAGATTCTGCATCATTAGGGATCTGGCAGAGGAATTAGGATATTTGATAAGTGGTCACACATTCAGATTCACACACACACACACTCATGCTCATCATGTTTTAGCACATGTTCATACTGTAAACCATTGTCTAACCTCTCCTTCCCGCTACATGCACACATGCATACATACATAAATGATACAACTGCATCACACATTGCAAGCCTCAGCTCTCTGCATGGCTCCCTGTTCACCTCTGTGTTCCTCCCCCATTTGTAATGATCATTAAGCAGCTCCCTACACACCACACAGGCAGCAGCTTACAAGGGAAGCATGTACATGCTGCCTATTAGAGGCAATTAAAAGCCTGTCACTGTGTGTGTCTGCACGTTGTTGTGCGTGCGCATGTGTGGGATAGAATCAAACGAGAATAAACCAGCCAAAGTTTCTTGTGTATCTCTGTGTATGTACCCTTCATACACAACATGTTCAGTGGTTCGGTGTCGCCATGGAAATAAGGAGTGCCGGTCCCGCTGGTGGAGGACGTGTCAAACAGCTGACAAGGAGAAGACTTGCTGCTGTTTCGTGTGCAACCGAGTGACAAATATAGATAATGAGCTGAGGCAGCCTGCAAAAAACCACTCAAAGATGTGCTTTGAGTTTCTTGACACTTTTTTTTTTACTCTACTGCACAATCACAACTGAATTATTGAAATATTCAATAAGATGTCTGGCCTAACGGCAACAAATCAAACATCACAGCATGATATGTGAAGCTATAAGACGGCTTATATTAAAACAATCAGTGAAAAGGTTCTTGCTCATGCCCTCTTTCTTTCTATTGTCATACTTGTCTCAGTAAAAAATCTCCCTTTTATAGCCTTTCAACTTGTTTTATGTAACTTTGCTTGTAATGAAAAATTAATAACCTTATCACCCAGGTAAATAGGATTTTCCTTATCAAGCTTTAATGTTTTCATTTTTCTTATAAGATTTGTCAGTTCATATATTTCTAATGTGGCCAATATCATAATCCAGTATTAACCAGTCAAAGTCATACATCTGAAAGATAAAAAGAACAGCAATGACTGAGAAGTCTGTGCAGTGTGTGTTTAGGGTTTTATTATGAAGTTTATGAACAATGGGAGGCAGGGGATGACTAAACATCGAGCAACCAGGATGAGGATGTAGAGGAGAAGAAGAGCCCATTTTTAACTGAGGCTGATTATTCTTTTACTTTGGCACATGCAATTAGAGATTCAGTAAGAATAACGCTGCCAGCCAATGGGCGCCTTTTCCAACACCTAAGAGTAAGCCGCAAACTTGGCAGACAACCTTATAACTGTACAGTAGCTGCACACACAAAGTGCTGCTGCCACATATCTGTACCACAAAAGCAGCAGTTTGGTCCAAAGGAGCAATGAAGATTAGAGTCAGAAGAAAAACACTGGTCATAGTTGTCCTCTTTCCCTGACATCTGTCAGTGGAGACCGAGCGGGGACCAGCTACACTATCAACTGGGTATGTCCAGTCCAGGGTCTAGAAAATGTCTAGAAAAGTCTAGAAAATGATGACTAGGGGTGCATCTCAGATCAGAGGGGGTGCACATGCCTGGCACGTTATTCAACACTGAATTATGCATTTTCCCGTCATTTCAAGCGGAATGAAACTAGTCAAACAAGAATATTTAAAATGTCTTTCATATGCTTTATTGTAGCAAAATTGTTGTAGAAAAAGGAAATACAGATGTTTCTTACCCTGAATATTTAACATAGAAATTCAAACTATTTTTAACTATACAGCTCAAAACCATCACTAAACATGACAGTCATTTCATGTGGAATGATAATAGTCAAACAAGAACATTTAAAGTGTCTTTCAAATGCAGTTTTGCAGCAGACGTTTCTTACTCTGAATATTTAACATAGAAATTCAAACTATTTTTAACTATACAGCTCAAAACCATCACTAAACATGACAGTCATTTCAAGTGGAATTCTACCAGTCAAAAAAGAATATTTTAACCCTTTGATGCGCAACATATCCACACCCCCTCTAATGCGCAACATGGGTCTAAAAAGACCCGCATTCATTTCCAATGGTATTTCATGCTGGCTGAGTTTTTCTTTGTTCTATCTTTTGAAATAAGTTTATTTTCTGATTGAATATTCCAAGTATTCTTTAAATATCTTGTTTTTGATCACCACTGATCATTATTTCTATTTTTCTTTTCATACTTTATGAAATAATATAGTTTCTATATTATTACATCAAGTTTACACACATGGGTCAAAAACGACCCATTCATCCAAGTGTGATTTAATATTGAATTACCTAACACTATAATAATAATTTGTTTCAAGTAATGAAATTAGCAGTGAGTGGGGCCAAACCATAGACTGTATATACCATGGACAACTTGGTTCCGCCTACCGCCTGTATACGGATTTGGAGCCAAAAAGCTCTCGGTATTTCCGGGACTTTTCTACATTTCTGAAACCAGAGCTGCGCAGTTGCGATGCGTGCATTCGGCCGCACAGTCGCTGAGAGTTGCTGTGATGACGCTCGGCTCAAACAGCGTATCACCCCGGGAGAGCTACGCAATCCGTGAATGCCCATAGGCTGTATCCATAGACTGTGGCTGTGTCTCATTTCAGAGACCGCATCGTGATAAGCGCGCTTAACGGCGCTTAGCTGAGTGCACTGCCGTTTTGAGCCGTTTTACGCCGTTTTGCGCCGTTCTGTGCCCTTCCTGTGTCCCATTTCAGATACAGCAGCCATCGAACGGCGCATCTGACGCGTACGTGAGGTCACCACGCGGCACGAACGGTGTCCCGTTTGGCACAAAATACTAATTGCGCTTCAAATTCGGTCTCAAAACCACACTACCCCCGCCTCTTTTTCAAGCGTGCATGTATGCACGCTTTCGTGCCGTCGGTATCCCAGAATTCTTTGCGTGCCGCTGCACAGCTGTGCATTTCAGGTGAGAGGCTGGACTCGCTTGGAGACACAGCGCGTCTTCGAAGAAAATACAAGAAATCCAAAACCATCAGACAGTCAGCTCAGGCTGTATGAGAGCATGATCTCTGAACTCACTAAAATCTGTAAACCAAACATTATAGATTTAGAGACGAACTGATCCGCTGTGTTACAACTATCAAAAACATTAGAAATGAGAAAGCTGACAAAACTACAGCAGAGGATCAGGACAACATTGAGGTTTTTTTCTTTTAAGATTTAGAGATTAAAGTTGTAAATTTAGGAGAATAAACTCATAAAGTAAATAAAGTCATAAAGCTGCTTTTGCGGAGGGGGAAATGACTGAAGCTGGTCATCTGCAGGGTTATCTGTGGATGTATCAGCGGGTCATTCAGAGAGTTTTAGTGGTTTCTCAAAAAAACAATCAAACTGATGATGATCAACATTTGTGATCCAGAGGGAGTCGAGCTCCGACGAGCACCACGTCTCTGACACCGGCGGTAACCTACACCTGCAGAGACACCAACACCTTATTACTGCATATGGATTCATATCATAAATTAAAGCTCAATGTCATTCACGGATATTTACGGCTGCATTGACAGATATATCCTCAGCATATTCATTTATGCCCCCACAAAAGCAGCGATTTCCTTCAAGTACACCAATATTTTTCCCCCGTGGAAAAGACGTATTTCTCATATATTCTTTTTAAAGTCTTTATACTTATGACAATGTTATGCTGATGTGCCAGAGGATGAAGTATCTCCTTGTTTGTGAAACCTATACTGAAGCACAGTTCCTTCAAATGCTTCATGGCCCTAATTTTAACAAGTCTCTCTGAAATAACAGGTTATGACTTCATTCTCATAAATTAATGACTTTATTCTCGTAAATTCACGACTTAAATCTCGAAGTCCTTAAAGTCTTAAATCTCAATATGGCCCTCATACTCCTTCTTACAAAACAATCATTGGATGAATTGTGCTTGTATATATCTACTATTTTGTGTCTGTGCAAGGTCGCACAATTAAAACAATAAATGCTGCGCTCCGCGGGTTTCCTTTAAGTCAGTCGTGACGCGAGCCTGAGGGCGGGGACATTTGGCAACTCCACCAGGAAGCCCTCCGAAGGTCTCCAAATGTCCCCGCCCTCAGGCTTACGTCACGACTGATTAGAAAAAAAGCTGCGGAGCGCAGCATGTATTGTTTTAATTGTGCGACCTTGCACAGACACAAAATAGTAGATACATACAAGCCCAGATCATTCCCACAAAATTAATCCAATGATTGTTTTGTATGAAGGAGTATGAGGGCCCTATTGAGAAGGAGGATAGGAGATACTTCATCCTCTGGCACATCAGCATCACATTGTCATAAGTATAAAGACTTTAAAAAAAAAATATATGAGAAATACGTCTTTTCCACGGGGAAAAAAACTGGTGTACTTGAAGGAAATCGCTGCTTTTGTGGAGGCATAAATGAATATGCTGAGGATATATCTGTCAATGCAGCCGTAAATATCCGTGAATGACATTGAGCTTTAATTTATGATATGAATCCATATGCCATAATAAGGTGTTGGTGTCTCTGCAGGTGTAGGCTACGGCCGGTGTCAGAGACGTGGTGCTCGTCGGAGCTCGACTCCCTCTGGATCACAAATGTTGATCATCATCAGTTTGATTGTTTCTTCAGAAACCACAAAATCTCTCTGAATGACCCACTGATACATCCACAGATAACCCTGCAGATGACCAGCTTCAGTCATTTCCCCCTCCACAAAAGCAGCTTTATGACTTTATTTACTTTATGACTTTATTCTCCTAAATTTACAACTTTAATCTCTAAATCTTAAAAGAAAAAAACCTCAATGTTGTCCTGATACTCTGCTGTAGTTTTGTCAGCTCTCTTATTTCTAATGTTTTTGATAGTTGTAACACAGCGGATCAGTTCGTCTCTAAATCTATGATGTTTGGTTTACAGATTTTAGTGAGTTCAGAGATCATGCTCTCATACAGCCTGAGCTGACTGTCTGCGGTTTTTGGATTTCTTGTATTTTCTTTGAAGACGCGCTGTGTCTCCAAGCGAGTCCAGCCTCTCACCTGAAATGCGCAGCTGTGCAGCGGCACGCAAAGCATTCTGGGATACCGACGGCAGGAAAGCGTGCATAAATGCACGCTTGAAAACATGCTAAGCGCGCTTAGCATTTTTTAGCATCTCGTGCCAAATGGGACACCGTTCGCACCGTCGTGACGTCATGCACACTTCAAATGCACCGTTCGACGGTGCAGAAGGGCACTTAGGTCGATGCGGTCTCTGAAATGAGACACAGCCTGTATATACTATGGACAACTTCGTTCCGCCTACTGCCTGTATACAGATTTGAAGCCAAATAGCTCTCGATATTTCCAGGATTTTTCTTCATTTCCTGAAACCAGCGCTGCGCAGTAGCAATGCGCGCATTTGGCCGCACAGTTGAAGAGAGTCGCTGCGATGACACTCGGCTCAAACAGCATATCCCCCGGGAGAGCTACGCAATCCCTGAACGCCCATAGGCTGTATCAGGTGTCATTCATAGCAAACATGAACCCCTAATAACTTTTAAAAATGGAGCTTCACAGAAAAAAAGAGGACCTGAGCACAAACCAGTCTGACAGTAACTACATGTCAACATCACAATCAGGAGGGAGAAAAATTTATGTTCTGTGTAATAAAATTTTTAAGTTTGTCTACAGCTCCATAATCTTTGCTGGCGGAGGCGGGATTTATGACCTATACTGCAGCCCATCAACAGAGGGTGCTGTTCTCGGAGTGGCTTCACCCAGCGAGGAGGCAGACGGCGTCCATTCTATATACAGTCTATGGCAGGTGTCAATCATAGAAAACATGAACCCCCTAATAACTTTTAAAAACAGAGCTGTACAGAAAAACGAGGACTTGAGCAAAAACCAGTCTTTCAATAACTACATGTCAACATCACAAGCGGGGGGGGGGGGGGGAATTTATGTTCTGTGTAATAAATTTCTAAAGTTTGTCCACAGCTCCATAAGCTTTGCTGGCGGGGGCGGGATTTATGACCTCTACTGCAGCCTGTAAACAGGGGGTGCTGTTCTCGGCTTCACCCAGCGAGGAGGCAGACTCTGTCCATTCTTTATACAGTCTATGGGCCAAACACTTTTGTATTTTGTATCAGCAACATGTTTATTTGTCATTTTGTCACATACACATGCATCTGATTATAGCTAGCTGAAATAACGCTAGCTGTTTTACCTGTAACTGTGTAACTTTCCAACATGTAATGTCCTCACTCTCAAGGTAACCTAAACCTAATCAAATCAAATCTATGTACAATTATATTTCACAATTGTCATCAAATGATTTCTAAGATAATGTCAGAACAATTGAAAAACCATACTTACATGTATTAGATGGTCTTTTCATGCTAAATGCTACAGTCACTGTATGTGGGTCGTTTCTGACTTATGTATGTAAACTTGATGTAGAAATACAAAATCTGTTCTTCCTCATAACGTAAGAAAGGAAAAATAAAAATGATTATTTGTGCTCAACTAAAACAAGATCTTTACTGCATACTTGGAATAGTAAATGATAAAATTAATTTATTTCAAAGATATACCATAGAAACACTCAGCCATACATGAAATAACATTGAAAATGGATACGGGTCATTTTAGACCCATGTTGTGCATTAGAGGGGTAGTGATACAAAAACGGTTTTTATTCTAAAAGTAAAAAAAATAGAAATTAACATAAGGATGTAGGGTCGTCAAAAACAAGTTAATTGAGGAATTCCTTGAGTACCAACTGATGGAATTAATTTTTTGAGAAGATATATAAAATTTAAACTCAGCCGGGTCTTTTTTGACCCATGTTGCGCATCAAAGGGTTAAAGGGGACCTGCCACCAAAATTTCATACCCATTTTTATCCTTTTTTCATAATCCTTGATGTCCTCTGATCATGTTTGCAACATAATTTTAGCTGAAAAGTTATTTGATGGTTTGTTTTAGTATGCCTAAAAAACCTTACAGGAAAACCAACTGGTTTGGGCTCATTAACATTTATCGTAATGAGCTTTGCTCTGATTGGATCGCTGCTGTGAAGCCTGCTGTGCTCTGATTGGCTCAGCAGTGGAGGTTCGGATTTCGATTTATCCATTGTTATTATGCTAATGCTTATAGCATATGCTAATATGTGCTAAAGTAAGGTGCCCAGATGTCTGTAATGATATCCGGGGATATTCGGTGCGGCGGTGCAGGGGCTGCAGGGGCTGCAGGGGCTGTGTGATCACAGACAAAATCTCGGTACTGTTTAGTAGCAGCGCATGCCCCTTGTGATAACCCGCGTAAGAACTGTTGTTCAGGACTGCTTACTTGTGCTTCCTACCTATTCGGCTACTGTAATAACCGTTGTTCGAGCACACACGCAACATTTTTGCTCTCATTCATGAAACGCTTAAATCGGGGACATTTTCGGGGACAGCTTTTGCCGGTGACAGGTCATCCAATCCGGGGACTGTCCCCGGAAATCGGGGACGTCTGGTCACCTTATGCTAAAGGCTAAAAACGGCAGGTATTAAACCATATATTTTAGACCCCGAGTCCAAAGAGGAGGTGGAAGTTGAGGAAGAAGCCGGAGATCTCCAGCGGTGTTTTCTCATTCATTCTGTCCAGCTTTAAGTTCATTTTCCCGGCAGTGAACCCAAGGAAGGGAGATGAGTGACGTGCCCTGACGCGCGCGCACTTCTCCCTCTTTCCAACTGAGCATGCAGCCACATAAACTGAGGGTGCAATGCATGCTTATGCACCCCCGTAGAACCGGGCCTGGTCCAGTCTCCTCTCAGATGCAAACAGACCTGGTAGCTACAAGTAAGCACTAAAGCACCCGACTGCTTGTCCTAGTGCTGCTGTTAGCTCTGTAAGCTTTAAGTGTCGTAGTTCATGGTTTGGCACAAGATTTGGTGGTAGCCGATCTGATTCGCAGAGATCTCTTGCACTCAGTCAAATAGATCTGGTCATTAAAACGAGTGAAACAGTTAAAACTATTGAAGATACGCAGGGAAGTGCGATTTATTTTTACCAAATTCATGTGCTCTCTCTCTCTATCTCTCCCCCATCCTTTATGATGGGGGAGATGTGCTCCATTTTGCAGGTGTTCATTTCTCCTGTCTGTGCTGAGTCTGGAAAATGAAGTGTTTTGACTTGAGTGATGGCCTTTCATTATTCACACACATGAAAGTAGGTAGCAATTAGCAGTCAGTATTAGGTCGGCATTCTTTTCTTCATATTGCACAGTATATTTACAGTGCAGCTTCGACCTATAAATAAAAGGTTATTCACTACGACTTTGATTCATCATCCAAACATCATGTGTCAATCATTTTAGATCAAAGGCCGACGTCTTTGCGATATTGTGGCATCTAGCAAACGCTGTCCTTGCGACATCTTGGCGATGTAACTAGATGCATCAGGCCGGCATTGGCATGATGTACATGTGCTATCTAGGTTGTGGCAATGGCATTTTCACACGTTCAATCATACAGCTGTGTCAGAAATTTGATTCAAAACTACATAGTTTCAGTTTTTAATGTCTTAACATCACATTGTTAAAGGCAACCTGACCCAACAAGCTGAATTTATCACCCCGATTTATTTAGCCACTGCCTGTTGACACTGTGGCAAAAAAAAAAAAAAAAAAAAAAAAGGCAAACTGTACATCTACTAAAAACATGAATGATACTTTTGACAGAGAAAAACATTGAGGGACTTTGTGTGAGAAATTACTTCAGTGTTTTCAGAACAGTCTCATCACAGAGTGGGAATCTTACAAATCACCGATCTGACGCAAGTTAACTTCATTGGTTCGGAAATATTCCCCCGGTTGTTTTTTAGCTTCATACAAAATTTCCAGTTTTGTTGCCCCTGTTTAAACTTTTTAAATCATGTTGCTGGCATTAAATTTACAGCAATCATATAGTATTTGACATAAAGTCTCATTGCTGATATGTTGTCATGGCACTATTTTGATAACATAGAGGGTTCAAATGTGTTTCATAGTTATAAAAAAAAAATGTATCACTCACACAGCCACCCAGCTTTTTTAGAGTTGAGGTTGTAATTACTTTGTGTTAGGATTGACCTTTTGCTGCTGTGGGTGGTCCTGAAAAAGGTCCATATAAAGTACAAATTCTTGTTGCTAATTTAGTGTAAGATTGATTTTTCTAAACAATTTGAGATCTGAATGTTGAAAAGGGTGTGATGTTGCTATGCAATGTCTGAATTTATGTTCAAGTTCCTCCTGATAGAATTATGCATACTGCAGACTACTACTTATACCAGAAAACCTGCATACAGAGGTCTCAAATAAGGAGTATGGTTGTTTATGACAATGTCAGAGCCTTGAGGAAGAGGCACACTGTAAATAAACATCTATGCACCATCCCGACTCAGCTTCCCCAAAATCCACCAGAGACACTGGGGTGTGTCACCTTGGCCCCAATCTGGGAGGTGTGTGTTTGCATATATGTGTTTCTGTGTCCCATCTCTTAGACTGTTGTTGACTCTCCCAGTGAGAACAGCAGCAGAGGTCTTGTAATCAGTGTTAAGCTGTTTTCACATAAATCCTTTCAAAATAAAGAGTGTTTTTCTTTTTTTTTTCCAAGTAGCATGCAGTCTTTCCTCTGAGACGCTTGGACTGGACTTGTTAGAGCTGCATTTGTTTGTACTTTTCAGAGCCTCCAAGTTTCATTCTTTGTTTTGAACAAAAAGTTTCAGCCTGTACGAGTCTTTAACTTCTGCAGTATGTTAAATCTGTGCTTTGTATAAAAAAAAATTATACAGCTTTTGTCTGATAAACTTACAC